AGGCAGGAGATGGGCAGGGGGAGGAGAGGGAGGGAGGGGGAGGAGTAAGGGGAGGGCAAGAGGATCTTGATAGCCGGGAGGAAGTAGGACGGAGGCCGGTGGCTGTCAAATGGCCACACGAGCGAGGGCGAGCAGGCAGGGCGGAGAGCAAGGGCAGGAGGAGGGAGGGGGTAATGTAACTCCCGGATGAGGAGGGCTCCATGCAGGGCCAAAAGGCCCATTCGGTGGAGGGCCGGCGGCGGGGGCCGAGGGGGGAGGGGGCAATGGGGCCCCGGGCGTGGCCGTGCGAGGGAATGCACCGCGCGAGACAGGGCCGGTGTGGATATTCTGACAGTCGCCTGGGCGGGGCCCGGGTCACCCCGGCGATGGCCCCGCCCCCCGGGCGGCTGCCATCCGATCGACGAAGGGACTCTGGCGTGGGGGGGGGGGGGGGGGGCGGGGGCGGGGGGGTCCCTCTGCCGCGGTCCACCCCCCTCGGCCCCTTGGGGTTTCCGGCCGCGCCCGGCCCCCCCCCCCCCCCCCCCCCCCCCCGAGTCGCGTGTGGACTCCTGGGCCCAGGCCAAGCCCTTGGGTGTGACTGCCAATCGACTTTCAGACACCGGCCGCCGTTTGCCGTGTGTTCAGCTGCCCAGGTGTATTCGGAAATCGACAAGCGCCGCGGCGTGACAGTCGGCGCCCCCGCCCCCCCCCCCCCTCAATGTGGGTCGGCCGCCCCACGATGTGTGTGTGTGTGTGTGTCTACATGCGCCCGTGAGTTGGCCCAGCTCAATTGGGCGCAGGCGGCGTGGACCGGCCAGCTACATAGCCCGCAATTATGCTGCTGCTGCTGCTGCTCCGGCGCCCTGGCCGGGCTGCGTCCGGGCAAAAGCCGCGGTGCCTGGGGGCGGGGGCAGAAGGGGGGGGGATGCGACCGGACGCGGGTCACAGACAGGGGCCTCGCGCTCCCCCGCGCGGCGGCGGTCTGGTGCCGGCTGCGAGGCAGAGGCCGCTGAGCCGCTTTCGCTCGGACGCCTCGCGTGTCCTGCTGGGGGCCACAGCTCCGGCCGCAGGCTTCACCGAGGCCTCTTGACGCCTCGCGGCCACCGGAGGGCGCTCTGGCCTCGCAGACGCACGCTCGGACCTGTTCGTCTATGTATGTATGTGTGTGTGTGTGTGTGTGTGTGTGCATTCAAGGAGGGCCCGCACACACCCATGGACGTCGCTCTCGGATTGGAGGCCGTGGTCTCTTCGAGTTTCGCGCCAACCGGGCAGGTCTCCGGTACTGGGGGCGGGGGCGGGGGGGGGGGGGGCCGGCCGGCGGAGGATCAACTCCCTGCACGTCGGTTTTCCAAAGCGCCCGGGCGTCCGTCTCGGAAGGCAGAGGGTGCACCCTTGCGTCGGGCCAGGGGGGATATAGCCATCCTTGCCCGGAGCTCTGCCCCATGGGCTCTGCCGCAGGTTGCCGGGCCGAGGATTGCATGACGGAGTATGCCCGCCAGGCGGCAGGCCGCTAGGGCACCACAATCCCGGAGGTGTCTGGAGAGAAAAAAAAGAGGGCCTGCTCTTGTGTCTGGGGGGAGGCCGTGTGAAGGACAGGGGGCCCCAGGAGGGGCACAAGGCACGGGGCAGGGGAGCCGCCGGGAGCGAGGCCGAAGTCCCCATCATGCCCACACGCTCAAATGGGCCCGGCGTGGGAAGGGCCCCATTTGCTGGTCCAGTCTCCGGGAAGCATGTGCTCGCCTGGAGGTGGCTGGCCTCCTTGGCCTCTTCCGTGGGTGCCCGGGGCCCGGTCGCACGCGCGCACGCGCGGTGCTTCCATCCTTCGTACCCGCGCTCGCGCACCCTCCTCCCCCGCGCCGGGCATCTCTCCCTTTCTTTTTTTCTTTCTCTCTCTCTCTCTTGCATGCCCTTTCCGTCCATCTTTCTCCCCTGGTCGCTGGGGCGCCCGGAGTGTGGCGACCTTTCTCGGTCTAGGACATGCCTGGCTCTCGCTCTCCCTCGCTCCCCCTCCAGTCGCAGATGACTTCACGCCCCCGAGGCCGCTTTGGTATATTGGCCGGGTCGCAACGCATGTATAGTGCGCCCCCGCCCGCCGCCCCCGCCCTCGGTCCTGGCGCTCTCGCCCCAGCCGGCCCGGCCTCTCAGGCGTGTGTGTGTGTGTGTGTGT